GAGGTCTCACCTGCCCAGGCGGGTCTTGAACCCCTGGGCTCAGGCAATCCACTCACCTCAACCTCCCAAAGCGCTGGGATTACAGGCTGAGCCACCGAGCCCAGCTAAGCCTGAGATTTTTTTTTTTTTTTTTTGAGTTGGAGTCTCACTCTGTCACCCAGGCTGGAGTGCAGTGGCCGCTCCCGGCCACCGCAGCCTTGACCTGCTGGGCTCCAGCGATCCTTCTGCCTCAGCCTTCCAAGGAACTGGAATTACAGACATGCGCTACCATGCCCGGCTGATTTTTGGATTTATTGTAGAGATGAGGTCTCGCTGCCCAGGCGGGTCTTGAACCCGCAGGCTCAGGCAATCCACTCACCTCAGCCTCCCAAAGGCGCGGGATTACAGGCTGAGCCACCGAGCCCGGCTAAGCCTGAGATTTTAACCACTGCTCTTCACTTGGGGTCTGTGAAGACAATATTAGTTTGGAACAATTTGGGCATACATTAAAGTCCCTGTGCTTCAAGCTAAGGAGCCTGGACTATATTTAGGAAGTAAAAAAGACATAAAATATTTTTTAAGCAAGAAAGTTTTGTGACCAGAGCTATGCTTTTTTGAAAACGAGTCTGGTGTGGTCAGTAAGCTGAAGTGGAGTGAGGAAAATCTCAGGGCAGGGAGACCTGGGTAGGGAGCTAATGAAATATTTCAAGTTTCTGAATTAAGGTAGTAGCTGTGGGAACAGAAGATTGGGGGGCATCGAGTTAGGATGGAGAGACTGGTTGGCAGTGAGGGAATAGGAATCAAAAGAGGAGGACTTGGGGTGGTGTCATCAGGCTTTGGGGAGCTGACAATAATGATCAAGAAACAGGTTTGGGAAGAGCCACACTGGTACATTCTGAGACTGATACACTGGCAGAACCTCTCAGTATCTCCCAGGCAAGAAACTGGTTCCTTGAGGCTGGAGTTTGGAGAGGCTACCAGTCACCTTGTTCTTTGTAAAGAAGGAGCCACTGGAGCTGTGGGACAGAAGGGGCATCTGTGTGGTTGATGGGGGTCAGCATGTGAAGAGGAGACAGTTTTGAGAAGGGCTGACGCTGAAGAGGCTGGAAGGAAAAACCAGGCACATGGGAGTCTTAGGAGCAGGCAGCATCAGAACGATATGGGTAGCCTTTGAGGAGGGGATCTGCGGGCAGGCAGGTTATGAGCTATGGCAATTGGAAGAGCTCCCTGGGTGTGTGAGCAGCTCCAGGGCCTAGGGAATGGAATTAGTATGGGATGGGAAGGGTAGTGAACAGGGAGTGACTTCTTCCACTTCCACGTTTGCAGAGGAAGGGGAAGGAGAAAGGAAGTAGCTCCTGGCTGAGGGTGACAAGAGCCAAAGGTGGAGTAGGTTCTTTGGTTGAGTCAAAGTCTGGTTGACTTACTGGCCCTTTAGCCTCAGCTCATGCTTCTGTTCCAGGCCTATTTGCACTCCATGTGCATCATTCACCGGGATCTGAACTCACACAACTGCCTCATCAAGTTGGTATGTCCCACTCCTCTGGTCCAGGCCTCCTGGGGACCAGCCTTCTGGCTTCCTTGTCACACAGGAGGCTGACTGTCCCCTTCAGCTTCAGGCCAGACATACTACTTAGGCACTCCTGTCTACCTCAAATGCCCTCCCTGTCTTCTGGACACAATTTCACCTTCTCTCAGTAGTAGCCTTTGAAATCATTTGGTTAGAAGGGACTTCAGAAGTTCCTTTTCTATATATAGAACGCTGTCACTTTTCTGGGTTTGCCCCATAATAGTATTATGAAGAAGCTCGTTGCTGACCCAGTTTTATAGCCTTAGCCCTTGAAGTCTCAGCTAAGGTGGGGTGGGGTGAGGGGGTTACAGGGACCAGTTTGAGGCCAGCATTCCTCCCACTGCCTTTTAGCTATGATTGTTACAATGTTGTTTCTCCTTTTGACTTGCACTCTGGCTTCCTGGGTGTCCATCAGCAGGCCCTAGCTGTGCCCCCAGACCACACCAGGCAATCTTACTTCCTTTCCCACATGACCGCCCTGTAGCTATTCAAAAAGCTTGTCTCTCCCAAGTCTCCCCACTGACTACCTCTATCTTGTCTTTTTTCTGTCTTATCCTGGTTCTAGTCACTCAAATCTTCTTAGAAACAAGGCAGGACAGGGAAAAAACAAAACAAAAGAAATCCCCTGTCCCACCTCTGAGTTTCAATATCCAGGTCCCAGAGCCTTACCCCTCCAAGGCTTCAGTAGCTCTGTTGTAAACCGCCCTCGTGGGCTGGGGATTCTGTTGTGTGCAGATACCAGACCATTAGAAGCACAAATGCCAAGCGCATCTACTAGATAGAGCTTTCTGCTATGTCTTTCCTTTGCTATTCTCCTTTCTCCCCCTTCTTGGTGGCTTTTGTTGTCTGTGCCTGCACCCCAGGGTCAGGTTTGAGAACACCCCCACTAGGTCCTGACCTGGCTCTTGTCCTACCAGGACAAGACTGTGGTGGTGGCAGACTTTGGACTTTCGCGGCTCATAGTGGAAGAGAGGAAGAGGCCCTCAGTGGAGAAAGCCACCACGAAGAAACGCACCTTGCGCAAGAATGACCGCAGGAAGCGCTACACAGTCGTGGGAAACCCCTACTGGATGGCTCCTGAGATGCTGAATGGTGAGTCCTGAAGCCCTGTGGAGATACTCTAAGAGAGGGAAGAGGCAAAAGTTCGTGAGGGAAGAGGCAATAGTTCCAGGAGGGCTGTGAAGTCTAGGACCAAATACCAGAGCTAAGGACTGGATGATTTTTATCTATTGCCAGGTGGGGCCTTATAAACCCCTTCCTCCCTGAGCTCAGTACTGGGAACTGGTCAGTGTTCCAACCTGGGCATAGGGTAAGGTCTGACTGCGGCTTTTGTGCCTCAGTGTTAGCTGAGAGCTCAGACAACTGCCCTAGCTTTCTCTCTCCATGCTGAGAACTGAAGTGTGGTGCCCCCTGGTGGATAATGCTCAAGCCAGCCAGAGATGCTGGCTGGGATTCTTGAAAAGTACCAGGTTATGAGGTTGTTAAGAAACGGTCTGATACAACCCTTTTTAGAGTCTGCGGCCCAGAGAAATTCAGTGGTTTGTCTAGGAACACACAGCTGGCTAATGGCAGATCGTGGATGAACCATGGTTCAGTTCTCTTCTGCAATACCATGCAATTTCATCCTGGGCATTGTTGTGTTACAAGGTCTCCAGGGCAGGCCACTCAGGGCTGAGGAAAGATGACTGTCAGGTGGTGTCTGTCATGGGAAGCCTTTGAAGCATCCCCATGGAACCTGTGCTAGCCGTTCTTGACCCTAGACCCAGTACAGAGCAGGTAAAGGACATAAACTTAACAACCTGCTCTCTTGTGTTCCCCAAGGAAAGAGCTACGATGAGACGGTGGATGTCTTTTCTTTTGGGATCGTTCTCTGTGAGGTGAGCTTTGGCGTGGAGGGCATGCCTAAGGCAGCAGGCCTAGCAGCTCTGCCCTCCTCAGGACAGGACTTTTCCTCCTAGGGGTGAATAACTTACCATAAAATCAATATGGTATAGCATTCTTCACATCTTTGCCACATTCATGTTTCATTGGTCCCATAAGAAGAACTGAGCAGGCCTTTTTTTTTTTTTTAAAGCAGGATTTATTGAGAGGACAGAAAAGCTCCCACAGTGAGGGGGGACCCAAAGGGGTTACCTGAGCAGGCTTTTTTTAGGTGAGGAACCTGAGCCTCAGAAAGGTCAGTGGCTTGCTCTTCATCAAATGGTTAGTAAGAGGCAGGTGAGCAAGAATTCCAGCAGGAAAAGCAAGAAACTGTTCATGTGGCTATCCATCTAGCTCTTGAGCCAAATGTTACTCTTCCCAGTTCCCTTGTAACCCCTTTCCTAGGCCCTGGTGATGCCCCATCCTAAGCCCAACAAGTAGAAGTAGCCACTCCAGGAAGTACCAGCCCTGTGCTAGGTACCCGGTAGTTCAGAAAGAACCTTGGAATGATTCCTGCCCTTAGGACCTCAGCAGTCAGGCAAGCAATATAACCCACTATATCTCAAAGACTCAAACACACACGTTCAAAGCCTTCTGTAATTCTTTTTTTTTTTTTTTTTTTTGAGTTGGAGTCTCATTCGGTCGCCCAGACTGAAGTGCAGTGGCCGCTCCCGGCCACCGCAGCCTCGACCTGCTGGGCTCCGGCAATCCTTCCGCCTCAGCCTTCCAAGTAGCCGGAATTACAGGCATGCGCTACCACGCCCGGCTGATTTTTTGATTTATCGTAGAGATGAGGTCTCGCTGCCCAGGCGGGTCTCGAACCCGTGGGCTCAGGCAATCCACTCACCTCAGCCTCCCAAAGGCGTGGGATTACAGGCTGAGCCACCGAGCCCGGCTTCTGTAATTCTTCCAAAGTTGTGAGTGGTAGAAGAGAGACAAAGAACAGCTAGGATAGTATTAGAATAAAGTTTAAAGGTTTTTTATAAACTGTTTTCTTTAATAGATATCAATTACATATTGACTGTGTAAAGCACTCGGCTGGTACCAAAGAGTTTCAGATATGAATCAGACCCAGAACTTTGCCTCATAGAGCCTTAACCTCTGGCAGAGGACACAGCCACAAGGGAACACAGGCAGGGCAGGATGGGATGAGTAGAAGCTACTAGCCTCCAGATGCCAGTTTGGAACCTTGTGCTTCTGCAGCAGTAAGGCCTCTTTTAAGCCTTCCTCAGTAATCAGACTTTCAGTCAAGAGGCAGGTCTGGATTAGCAAGATTTGGAGAGATTGGGAGGCAGGGGACAGCTCTCTAACCTAGGTTTTTTGCCACTCCCTCCTTCGCTCATCCTTTCTGTTCTTGTACCAACATCCCTTTCCCTCATCATATACTTACCGCCTCCATAGTCCTTCCTAAATAGCTGTCTTCTCACCCTACAGATCATTGGGCAGGTATATGCGGATCCAGATTGCCTGCCCCGAACACTGGACTTTGGCCTCAATGTGAAGCTTTTCTGGGAGAAATTTGTCCCCACAGATTGCCCCCCAGCCTTCTTCCCCCTGGCTGCCATCTGCTGCAAACTGGAGCCTGAGAGCAGGTTTGTATCCTGCCTCTTTCTCCTACCTCACAGGATCCTGGGATGCTTGCCCCAGCCTTAAGCCATTCCCAAGACCTTCCCAAGCACAGGGGTGACCTAAGCCTTGAGTTCAAGAATGTGGTTGTCAACCCCTGAAGCTACCTCACAATTCTGACATACCAGGTTGGAGGAGAGGGAGATGAAGGCAGAATAACAAGTGAGCTGGATAGGACACAGAGACACAGCCCTTAAAAGAAAGCTTAGAAGAAGAAAATTCACCAAACCGTTCTAGTACAGTGTCTTTATCTTTCCATGTTCCCCTATCCGTGTCCATACATACATATTTTCTTCATATATTTACTATGAAGAAATCATATTATTTACGATAAAAGTTTTGTTATTTGCCCTGCATTTACCATGTACTAACCAGTCTTCCTGTTTATCATTTTTGTCGATAACATGAAATTCTAGTGAGAGGCTGTCTGGACATATTATAATATACATAATGTAGATGTTCAGGCTTTTCTGGTTTCTCTTTACAATGGGTATTGACTACAGTGAGCAACTTTATGCATTTAGCTAATTTCTCCTTTAGAGAAGCCTTTTTAAAATTACCTACGTTCTTCTCAGGTGACAACACAGGTGATAACTGTCATTATTACCAGAGTTACCTTAGGTCTTTTTAAGTTTGTACATTAGAAAACTAAAGTCTGAGCCCGGCTTGGTGGCTTAGCCTGTAATCCCGTGCTTTGGGAGGCTGAGGTGAGTGGATTGCCTGAACCCGCGGGTTCGAGACCCGCCTGGGCAACTTGGTGAGACCTCATCTCTACAATAAATCAAAAATGAGCCAGGTGTGGTAGCGCACACCTGTAGTTCCAGCTACTTGGAAGACTGAGGCGGAAGGATCACCGGAGCCCAGCAGGTCGAGGCTGCGGTGGCCGGGAGCGGCCACTGCACTCAGTCTGGGCGACAGAGTGAGACTCCAACTCAAAAAAAAAAAAAGAAAAAGAAAACTAAAATCTGGCAAGTCAAGGGGGCTCAAGCCTATAATCACAGCACTTTGGGAGGCTGAGGCAAGAAGATTGCCTGAGCCAGCAGGTTCAAGACCAACCTGGGCAACATGGTGAGACCTCGTCTCTGCAATAGATCAAAGTTGGACGTGGTAACGTGCGCCTATAGTTCCAGCTACTTGGAAGGCTGAGGCAGAAGGATCGCCTGAGCCCAACAGTTCAAGGCTGCAGTGACTGGGAGTGCACCACTACACTCTAGCCTGGGCGACAGAGTAAGACTCCAACTCAAAAAAAAAAAAAAGAAAGAAAAAGCTGGGCTTGGTAGCTCAGCCTGTAATCCTGCGACTTTGGGAGGCTGAGGTGAGTGGATTGCTGAGCCCACAGGTTCGAGACCCACCTGGGCAACTTGGCGAGACCTGATCGCTATAATAAATCAAAAATTAGCCAGGCGTGGTAGCGCGCGCCTGTAGTTCCAGCTACTCAGAAGGCTGAGGTGGAAGGATTGCTGGAGCCCAGCAGGTTGAGGCTGCGATAGCCAGGAGCGGCCACTGCACTCCAGTCTGGGTGACAGAGTGAGACTCCATCTCAAAAAAAAAAAAAGAAAGAAAGAAAACTAAAATCTGTGTGTTTTGTTTATCTGCTATCAAAAATCATATTTCTTTTTTTAAAAAGTAAGTTGAAGCATTACCAAAATAAATAGCATAGGATGTATGTCTTTATTTTATTTTTATTTTTTTATTTCAGTAGCTCTAGGGGGTACAAATAATGTCTGGTTATATAATTGCAGTGTATAGTGGCAAAGAAATCTGGGCTTTAAGTATACCCAGTACTTCTACCTGTGCACATTGTACCCAATAGGTGATTTTTTATCCCTCCATCCCTCCCTTTCTAAGTTTCCAGTGTCTATTCTCTTTGCCTTTGCATATCCTTAAGTTAGCTCCTACTTATAAGTGAGAACGTAGTGTTTGCTTTTCTATTCCTGTGTTAGTTTACTTAGGATGATGTTCTCCAACTCCATCCAAGCTGCTGCAAAAGACATTATCTCATTCTTTTTGATGGTTGGATAGTGTTCTATGGTATAGATATATACCCAGTTTTCCTTATCCACTGATCAACTGATGGGCATTTAGGTTGATTCCACATCTGTGCAGTTGTGAATTGTGCAGCGATGAACATGCGAGGGCAAGTGTCCTTTTTATATAACAACCTCTTTTCCTTAAAAGAGATACCTAGTAGTAGGATTGCTGGATCAAATGGTAGATCTTCTTTTAGTTATTTGAGAAATCTCTGTACTGATTTCCATAGAGGTTGTATTAATTTACTCTCCCACCAATGTTATATAAGCATTCCCTTTTCACTGCGTCCACACCAGAATCTGTTGTTTTTTAATTTTTTTAATAACGGTCATTCTGACTGGTGTAAGGTAGTAAGTATCGCATTGTGGTTTTAATTTGCATTTTCTTGATGATGAGTGATGTTGAGCATTTTTTTTTTTTTTTTTCTGAGTTGGAGTCTCACTCCATCGCCGAGGTTGGAGGACAGTGACACGCTTACAGCCACTCTTGTGTCGACCTGCTGGGCTCTGGCCATCCTTCCACCTCAGACTTCCAAGTAGCTGGAACTACAGATGCACACAATCACACCCAGCTAATTTTTGATTTATTGTAGAGACGAGGTCTCGCCAAGTTGCCTGCCCTGGTCTCAAACCTGTGGACTCAGGCAATCTACTCGCCTCAGCCTCCCAAAGTGCTGGGATTACAAGCTGAACTACTCAGCCAAGTTAAGCATTTTTTTCATATGTTTGTTAGCCATTAGTATATCTTCTTTTGAGAAATGTCTGTTCATGTAATTTTCCCACTTTTTCATTCATTTGCTTTTTTTCTTGATTTGTGTGAGTTCTTTGTAGATTCTGGATACTAGTCCTTTGTCAGATGTATGGTTTGCGAATATCTTCTCCCATTCTGTAGGTTGCCTGTTTGATCTGCTGATTATTTCTTTTGCTGTGCAGAAGCCCTTAAGTGTAAAGTTCCACTTACTTATTTTTGGTTTTATTGCTTTTAGGGTGTTAACCTTAAATTATTTGCCTAGACTAATATCCAGAAGAGTTTTTTGTAGATTTTCTTCTAGGATTTTTAGGGTTTCAGGCCTGACATTTAAGTCTTTAATCCATCTTGAGCTAATTTTTGTGTATGGTGAGAGATAAGGATCAGTTTCATTTTGTTTATCTCCTCTACAGTTTCTTTCATCAGTGTTGTGTAGTTTTCCTTGTAGACATTTTTCACCTCCTTGATTAAATATATTCCTAAGTATTTTAGCTTTTTGGCTGCTATTGTAAATGGAATTGAGTTCTTGATTTAATTATCAGCTTGGTTGCCAGTGGTGTATAGCAGTCTACTGCTTTGTGTGTGTTGATTTTGTATCCTGAAACTTTACTGAATTTATTTATCAAGTCAGAGAGTCTTTAGGATTCTCTAGGTTTAAGATCATGTCGGTTGGGCGCAGTGACTCATGCCTATAATGCCAGCACTTTGGGAGGCCAAGGTGAGAGAATTGCCTGAGTCCATGGGTTCGAGACCAGCCCGGGCAACTTGGCGAGATCTCATCTCTACAATAAATTTTAAAAAATTAGCTGGGCATAGTGGCACGTGCCTGTAATTCCAGCTACTTGGAAGACTGAGGCAGAAGAATCGCCGAGCCCAGCAGGAGATCAAGGCTGCAGTGGCTGTGAGCGTTCCACTGCATTCCAGCCTGGGCGACAGAGTGAGACTCAAAAAAAAAAAAAAGATCATGTTGTCTACATACAGAGGTAGTTTGGTTTCTTCTTTTCCAATTCTGATATCCTTTATTTCTTTCTCTTGCCTGATTGCTCTGACTAGGACTTACAGTACTATCTTGAATAGGAGTGGTGAAAGTGGGCATCCTTTCCTTGTTCCAGTTCTGAGAGGGAATATGTTCAGCTTTTCTCTATTCAAGATGACATTGACTGTGTTTGTCGTATGTGACTTTTATTATTTTGAGGAATGTTCCCACTATGCCTGTTTTGCTGAGGGTTTTTATCATGAAGGGATGCTGGATTTTTGTTTTTAATTATGTTAATATGATCAAATATATTGACTTGCATATGTTGTATCATTCTTGTATCCCTGGGATAAAACCCACTTGATTGTGGTGGATTTTTTTTTTTTTTTTAATGTGCTGTTGAACTCAGCTTGCTAATATTTTGTTGAGGATTTTCATGTCTATGTTCATCAGGGATATTGTTCTGTAGTTTTCTTTTTCTTGTTGTTGTATCTTTTCCTGGCTTTGATATCAGGGTGGTGATACTGGCTTCGAAGAATAAGTTAGGGAGAATTCCCTCTTCTTCAGTCTTATGGAATAGCTTCTGTAAAATTGGTACCGGTTCTTTTTTGAAAGTCTGGTAGAAGTCGGTTGTGAGTCCTGGACTTTTAATTGTTGTTTCAATCTTGCTACTCATTATTGATCTGTTCAGGGTTTCTATTTCTTCCTTATTAAAAATTGGGGGTGTTGTATGTTTTTCACAATTTATCCATTTCCTCTAGATTGTCTAGTTTGTGTAGAGGTATTCATAGAAATCTCAGATGATCTTTTGTGTTTTTGTTATATCAGTTGTAATATCTCCATTTTCATTTCTGATTGAGCTAATTTGAATCTTCTCCCCTTGTTTCTTACTTAATCTAGCTAGGGTCTATCAATTTTATTTATCTTTTCAAAGAACCAACTTTTTGTTTCATTGATTCTTTGTATTTTTAAAAGTTTCTATTTCATTTAGTTCTGCTCTGATCTTTTTTCTTTTTTTTTTCCTGCTAGCTTTGGGTTTGGTTTGTTAGTGTTTTTCTAGTTCTTTGAGGTGTGACATTAGGTTGTCAACCTGCAGTCTTTTGGTCTTATTAATATGGACCTTAAATGCTGTAAATTGTCTTCTGAGCACAGTTTTTACTGTGTCCCAGAGGTTTTGGTAATTTGTTTCATTGTTGTCATTCATTTGGGAGAATTTTTAAATTTCCATCTTTATTTCTTCATTGTTAACCCAAGAATCATTTAGGAACAGATTGTTTAACTTCCATGTTTTCATTTAGTCCTTCCTGAAGTTAATTTCAAGTTTTACTCCACTGTAGTCTAAGAATGTTCTTGATATCATTTTAATTTTTTTTTAATTTATTGAGACTTGATTTGTGGCCTTTCATATAGTTTATCTTGGAGAATGTTCCATGTGCTGATGAGAAAAATATATATTGTATACTCTTGGGGCGGAATGTTCTGTAGATGTCTGTTAGTTCCATTAGTTCTAGGGTCCAGTTTAATTTCAGTGTGTCTTGGTTGACTTTCCACCTTTATGGTCTGTCTTTTGCTGTAAGTGGAGTGTTGAAGTCTCCCACTATTACTGTATTGCTGTCTATTTCTTTTTTTAGGTCTATTGGAATTTGTTTTATAAAGCTGAGGGCTCTGATGTTAGGTGCATAAAATTATGTCTTGTTGGAGCAATCTTTTTATCATTATATAATAACCATCTTTGTCGTTTTTTTTTTACTGTTGTCAATGTAAAGTCTGTTTTATCTGATATGAGAACGGCTACTCTTGCTCATTTTTGGTTTCCATTTGCATGAAAGATTTTTCCCATCCCTTTTCTTTGAGTCTATAGGAGTCTTTGTGTGTTAAGTGGGTTTCTTGAAAGCAGCAGATAATTTGGATTATTTTTTTTATATCCATTCTGCCAGTATATTTTAAATGGAGCATTGAGACCATTTATGTTCAGAGTAAATAATGACATGTAAGGTATTATTCCATTTATCATGCTGGTTGTTATCTGGTTGCTTTATTTATTTACTTTGTTTTCTATTGTGCTGGTGTTTTATGAGCCCTATGAGCTTTATGATTTCCAGTGTTTTTCTCCTGCTATATTTTGATTTTTTGCTTTAGTATTTAGAATTCCTTTGAGTAGTTCTTGTGGAGCTGGTCTAATGGTGATAAATTCCCTCAGTGGTTACTTGTCAGAGAAAGACTTCATTTCTCCTTAATTTTGAAACTTAATTTTGCAGGGAATAAGATCCTTGGCTGATAATTCTATTTGAGGAGATTGATGATGGGGCCTCAATCCTTTCTGGCTTGTAGTTTCTTCTAAGAAGTCTACTGTTAGTCAGTTTACCTTTGTAAATTATTTGATGCTTTTGTCTCACTGCTCTTAAATTTCTTTCTTGCACATTAACTTTGCATTACCTGATAATTATATGCCTTGAGGATAACCTTTTTGCAGTAAATCTTCTGGGGGTTCTTTGGGCTTCCTGTATCTGAATGTTTAAATCTCTGGTAAGGTTGGGGAAGTTTTCCTTTATTGTTTCCTCAAATAGGCTTTCCAAACCTGTTGTTTCCTCTTTTTCTCAGAACACCTATGTTTCTTAGGTTTTGACATTTTGCATAATCCCATATTTCTTTTGTTTGTTTGTTTGTTTATCTCAGCATTTATTCAATATGAGTATAGAGGGGTTAAAGTAAGTGATGTCAGATTTTTTTTTAATTTCAATAGCTTAGGGGGGTACAAACAGTTTTTGGTCTGGGCTTTACAAGTACTTGCCACTCCACCTCCACCCCTCCCCCTTCTGTCTCCAGTATTCATCACACCATTCTCTATGTGTTTGCAGATCCTTCGTTTAGCTCCCACTAGTGAGAACATGCCATAATCCCATATTTCTTGGAAACTTTGTTCCATTTTCTTGATTCTTTTTTCTTTATTGTTGTCTGTTGCTGTGATCCAGTCAAGAGTCTGGCAGTACCAACTGTTAATTGGGTTAATTCAAAAGCCTTGTCTTTAAGTTCTGAGATCCTATTTCTAGTCTAATCAACCTTTTGAATTCCATCTCTAAAATTTTAAATATTTCATTTTGGTTAGGGTCCATTGCTGAAGAGTTAGTGTGATCTTTTGAGGTTGTTGAAGAACTCTGTTTCTTCATGTTTTCAGAATTATTTTTCTAATTCCTTTTCATTTGGGCAGACTGTTTCTTCTTATTTCAGTTTGGCAAGGGGCTGCCATAGGCACTGTAAGGTTCCCTTGGTTATATATGACCTTGGTGTGGTGAGTTTCTCAGTTGCCAGCTGTAGCAGTCCTGTGCTGGGTACTTGCAGAGACTCAAGGTGTTCTGAGTGTTCCGGGTGACTTGGATAATGGTATTAACTGGGGTCTGGGATTGGACCTTGCCCAAAGCTGAGGTATTACATTAGATGTGATGGGCTGTGCTATTGACCTCCAACCAGGAGGTGGCACTTGTATGAGAGAACCAGCTGCAATGGTGGCTGTGGTTTTTCTGCCTGGCCTTTGTTGCTGTAAGGAAATGCCCAGCCAGCCTAGGTGGTGAGTGGGGCTGTGGGGACTACGCAAGTTCTCTATTTTGAGTCTTCAAGGGGGGGTATGAGAGAAAAGAGCTCAAGCTCCTCGTGTGTGTGTGTGTGTGTGTGTGTGTGTGTGTGTGTTCTTGGCTACCCCAGTGGGGTTTGGGAGGGAGTCTCTAGTCACTGGGGTAATGCTGTAGAATAGAAGCTGCACAACAGAGTTTACCTTGCAAGTAAGAGGTTGCTATGGCAATGAATCCCATCTGGTCCCCCACCTTAGCCTCAGGCAGTCTGTGTTCCCAATGTCAAAGTGCAGCCTGCCTCAGGGCCTCAGGTATTCTCATGGCAGCCTGCCCCCAGCCAGGAACTGTCTGCAGCTGTGGAGTGTGCCCTTGGCACCGTCCCCTCCCAGACCAGCTAGAAAGCAGCCACTACCAAGGGTTTAGTTCCTGGGATATGGCAGCTAGAGCTGCTCAAGGCTTTTTTTCCTGTACCATTCTACATGGGTTTTGGAAACACACTCTAGCTGCCTTTAGTTGGCCATCTTAATCCTATTGGAAGTATAAGTCTTCTGTAATCTCCCCTAACCAATGTGCCTCTCAACATCCTCCTCATCCTCAACTTTACCCTCCCAGGATAACGAGCTGGCACATAGTCTTTATTTTACAATAACTTCCAAAGGTCCACTTTAGAGTTAACATTTTCTGGTGGGAGAATCTATGTCTTATTCCTTTTTAGGCCAAAGGACCACATCCTTAACTAACACCAATGTAAGAGCTTGAGGAAAAATTGTGAAGCTATATAGTATTTGTTTCCTAATATCCCTTTTTATTCATTCTAAATGTCTATCTTTAATTCATTCAAAAAATATATATACAGCATTGAGTGCCTACTTTGTGCAACATACTATTTTAAACTCTTGGGTTACAGCAGTGAACAAAACAAAGGTGTCTGCCCTCATGGGGCATACATTCTAGCAAGGAGAGAAGGTAAACAATAAATACATTAAATAAATGATCTTGAATATTAGAAGGTGACAAATGCTATTGAAAGAATGAGTCACATCAAGTAAAGAGGATTGTTTAGGGTACAGGTTACAATTTTAAATATGATGGCTAGAGTAGGCCTCACCTAAGGTGATATGACATTTAAGCAAAACATGGAGAAGGAGACCTAAAATGTCTTAGGATTCCAGAGCAGCCAAACCATTTCCATAGCATGAAGGAATCTGGTATTTTTGTTCTCTTTGGGAAGAGCTGCTGAGTCTGTTATGCAGTACCTTTTCCCAGGCAGCTTTATTGGTGGGGACACAGCAAGTCTGAGGACTGGAAAGCCCCCCCCCCTTTTTTTTTTAGTTGGATTCTCACTTCCTTTTTTTTGTTATTGAGTTGGAGTCACCCAAGTTGGAGTGCAGTGGCACACTCATGGCCACCGCAGCTTTGTCCTGCTGGGCTCAGACTATCCTTCCACCTCAGCATTCCAAGTAGCTGGAACTACAGATGCATGCCACCACGCCTGTCTAGTTTTGTGACTTATTGTAGAGACGAGGTCTCACTAAGTTGCCCAGGCTGGTCTTGAACCCCCAGGCAATCCTCTACTGGGATTACAGTGGAAAGGATCTTTAAAAAGGCACTTAATCCAGCCCTACCTTTGATCGCATTTTCTCTAAGACATGTGATGGGCTTCTTTTCTCTCTCTCTCTCACTCTTTTTTTTTTGAGTTGGAGTCTCACTTGGTTGCCCAGGCTGGAGTACGGTGGTACACTTATGGCCATCCCAGTGTCGACCTGCTGGGCTCCAGCAATCCTCCCGCCTCAGCCTTCCAAATAGCCAGAACTACAGGTGCAGGCTACCGCACCTGGCTAATTTTAAAATTTATTGTAGAGATGAGGTCTTGCCAAGTTCCCCAGGCTAGTCTTGAACCCGGTGGGCTCAGGTAAGCCACTTGTTTTGACCTCCCAAAATGCTGGGATTACAGGCTGAGCCACCAAGCCTGGCCCTCATTTTTTTTAAGCTACCACCTCCAGCCAGGCCAGCCTTCTCACAGCATTGTCTTTAATCTTCACAGCAACTCTGTGAAGTTGCAGTGACATTATATTATGCCCGTTTCTCACGGAGGCACAACTAGGTTAAGGCTTTGCCTGAGGTCATACACTCAGAAGGTAGCTGAACCTGGATTCCTTCTACCCACCCCATGGCCCTGTTCGTATCCAAGCTGTCTCTGATTCATGCCTTTTCTTTCCAGACCAGCATTCTCAAAACTGGAGGACTCCTTTGAGGCCCTATCTCTGTACCTGGGAGAGTTGGCCATCCCACTGCCTGCAGAGCTGGAGGAGTTGGACCACACTGTGAGCATGCAGTATGGCCTGACCCGGGACTCGCCCCCCTAGCCCTGGTCTAGCCCCCTGCAGGGGGGCGTTCCACAGCCAGCATTGCCCCCTCTGCGCCCCATCTCTGGTTGTGAGCAGGGCTATCTGGGCTTCCTGTGGATTGACAGCTTGTCTAGAAGCCAAACAAGCCATCCCTACTACCTCCCCAGGAGACAAGCAGGCGCAGCACCAGGGAAATATATCTCCACAGGGTTTGAGGCCTGGTTACTGTCTATAAATCCAACACTTGCCTGAAAGCTGTGAAGAAGGAAAAAAAAGCCAGGAGGAATCTGTTACTCAGATCCACTCAGGAACTCCCTGGTAGTGGGATTCTGGGAGGCTCTTGCTTACACTAATCAGCGTGACCTGGACCTGCTGGGCAGGATCCCCAGGTGTACCTGCCTATGAACTCTGAAGTCGCTAGTCCAGCTGGATGCAGCAGTACTTCAAGTGAGAATGTGGACGAGAGAAAGACTGGTAGCCAAATGGCACTTGAAGAGTGTGAAATAAGTGGTGTTCCCCCCTTCCACTCCAGATCCTGCCCTCCCTGGAGCAGAGGATGAGGTAGTAGGTTTTAAAGAGTCCTTTAGTGTGAGGTGGAACTGCCAGGGAAAGGGCTGGCTTCCGTTCACCTGCCGGAGAGTGGCTCTTGCCAGCCCAGGAAACTGTCAGTGTGAGGGAGAGCTTCCACCTCATGTTCTCAAACTTACTGGATACTGGCTGAGAACTTCTGGGCAACATCCTTTCTGTCTGTAACAAGTAGTCACCCACAAGCATAAGAAGAGGCTGTGGCTAGAAAGAAAGAGGCCCTGCTGTCTAGAAAGCACATATCCTGGCGGGCTCCTCAGTCAGAAGCCTGACATTCTGCTTAGAGCTAGATGGGTTCTGGATAACAGTGTGGCTTGTTGCAGGCCTTGGGTCTGAGGCAGGAGAGTGGGGGTTTCAGCAGTCTCTTGGGCTTGGCCTTGTAGCAGCCACCAGTCACCCTTTAACATGCCTGGTCTAGGCAATTTGGGCTGGCAAGAGTTGGTGGCAGAATCCCCGAGCTGAGATGCTGAGAGAGCAGCTCCCTGAGCTGGGCCATCTGGCTTCTACCTCCTTTGATGACCGGCCCAGCCTACTAGCTCCTGGCTGCAGCCTCCTGAGCCACAGCCACAGGCACTAGAAAGCCCCGGGGACATCCTCCATCTTGGCTCCTGGAGCTCTAGGAACTCTTCAGCACTAGATTTGCCTCCTCCAAAGTGTCTGTGTGCTTGCACCATATTTAACAAATTAGGAATGGGTTTGGGGTATTAATGCCATGTGTGGTAATTGTATTGCGGTGAGGGGGAGTGATCCAGGAGAGTGGTTGCTATTAATATTATCTTGTTATATCTATTGGGTGATATGTCAAATATTGTACATAGACCTGATGAGTTGTGGGATCAGATGTCATCTCTGGCCAGAGGTTACTTGCTACGTAGACTGTACTTACATGTGAAGTTTGTAAGCTTGCTGTAGGGTTGAGCCCTGGACTCCCAGCCGTAGCACACTTCAACATTGTGTGACTGGTAGTGCTTCAACTGTCCTCAGCCAGTGTGGAACTGGTAGACCTGAACTGGGCCACTGAGCAGACTAAATAAATTCAGAAGTTAATATAACCGGTGATACTGAGCGTAAAGTGACTTGGGGCCTGGCTCAGGGAGATAAATGTGGAGGCCCAGACCACACGACTCCCCACAGCAGACAGTTTCCATGCTCCCAAGTCTAATCTCTCCTTATTGCAGACACTACCTGCTCTAGAGACCATGTACATTCCACCTAAAGCATCCCCTTCATTGGAACAGGTTTGACTACAACCTCATCTTGGCCCCATAAAGCTCTTCTGCCTAGCTCCTACCTGCCAGTGAGTTGTTCCTTAAAAACTCCTACTTTTGCCCTCCATTATACAAACACTTCTACATTCTGGGTATCCTGGCTTCCTCTCCTCAGTGCTGGGTGCCACCTTTGTAATTGGAAAAGTGAATGCAAATCACCCCATCCCTTATGTTTCCTACAAGTGTTGGAGAGGAAGCCTGTTTCTTGCTTCCGCACATTGGGGATGTTGTGGCAGAGTAACCATTAAGCAGGAAAATGCTACATAGTGGGGCCTTGGATACAATATAAATCCATAAACCCAAAGGTAATTTCTCCCAAACATTCCCAAAGCTTGAAGAATCCAACTTAAGGGCAGAATCTGGTTCCTGGAAGAACTAATGATCTAGAGTACACATTGCTGACAGAACTGTGGAGCAATGTCTGGGCATGGGCAGAGATCACCTTGGGTGCTCCTAGAGGCTGAGAACCTGTTGCTGAAATCCCCTGCTAAAAGTCCAGGAAACACTCCTGCTGGTATTGTCTGGAGCCCTTGGAGTCACCTTGCAGAGACATTCCTTAGCCCATAGCTGCTGCACCCATCACCCTCTGCAGTCATCCTTCCTTTGGCTGCTACATCACTACCGACCCACCGCCTTGTTTCCAGCCCTAACAAGGACTAGCTGGATATTTGTTTTAATTACCTCCACCTCAGAAAAAATGCTGCAGGGGAGAGGATTTGCAGCGACCAACTGCCTGCCTGGGGTGCTCACCCACCTGTCCTTTCTGCAGCTTCCATCTGAAAGATTCCTGATGATGATTATGACAGTCAGGTTGTCACAGGAACTGCCATTGCTAACCATTCAACTCTTGCCACTTTCCAGTTACAGGGCTAGAGTGAATGAAGAGCTCATCACATGGGTGTTGACAAGGTTACCCAGTTTCCCAACTCATGAGTAGTGTCCCTGTCACCCCACAAAAAGTTGGCAACATGGAGTCTTTTTTTTTTTTTATTAAGTCAAATGCAGAGCAATTTCCCACACTTTATATGCAGGTGTCAGAATGAGGTATATAAAACATATATACAGAGATATGATTTTATAGAAAAGTAGAAACCAGTAACGTTCTCTTCTCCAGCATCACTAACACCAAAGGACCCCCAGAGGTCTAGGTCCCCACAGCAAATGGCTCCAGGTAACAGCCTGCTGAAGGCAATGGGCCCCACTAACCCCCCTCTCCACATCCAGCAGTGGAAGGGCTCTGGGAAGGAAGCTCTGTGGCTGGGGGACACTGCCAAGGCCTCTGAGTGTGACATCAGGGCTTGGAGGCCCTGCTAAGCCACTAGCACAGTGCAGTGGAGAAATACTGAGCTCAATCAGGAACCTGGGTTTTCCTCTTGGCCATGCCAGTAGCTTGTACTGACTTGAGCAAGTCACTTTTCCCTCTCTGGGCCCACATACCCAAAAGGCTTAAAGAACTCAAATGTCCTTTTCAATGGTTCTGTGATTGTTTTGCAAGTGAAGGTTGTGACATTAGCCCCACTGCCCTACAGGAAGGCACTGGCCTGGAGGCCACAGGACCACCTGGCAACTCAGGCCCATTGCAGGGGCAAGCCCTAAAGTGCTTTATTACCTTGCCTCTGAGCTTAGTTTCCAGGTTAATCTCTTAGAAGCAGCTCACAGGTCCCTGTAGTCTAATTCTCATGGGTTAGCTGGCTGCTGTCTCACCCGTACAAAGTGAAGAGAGGTCACTGTCCACCCCTGAAGAGAAACTGGTGCACCCCGGTCTACCTCTGCCTCTATAGCCTAAGGCAGGAGCAGATCCTTCTTCACCCTCTTCATAAGTGGAACATTCAGTGCAATTCTTCCCTTCCTTCTCATGAAACAGGAAGTGTCCCTGGGCCCTGAGCTGGCCCACGGTTGTCAAGGCACATTGCTGCCAGCAAGCTGGAACACCCAGCAGCCCACAGCCCAGATCTCATTCTCAGCCTGAAGTTCTGACTTCTGTACACATTGATTTCTGGTTCTCAGATGTCAGTAGAGGGAGTTCCATCCCAATTTTTTTTTTTAACTATATTTTTTTCCAACAACCGACTCTCTTGACCTGCTTGGCCTTAACTATGATAACAGTATATGCCTCTCAAGCCTACAGTGGAGACTGAGGCTAGCTTAGTAAAGTACAGAGGAGCCTGGGAGAGCTCCTCATCTGTCCCTGGTTCAGTTTCAGGGTGCAGGCAATGTTTGGAAGCCCTTAGCAGCAGCACCACTGTGGGAGCTGCCATTCTCTTCATCCACAGGCAAAATCCTGCTCCAAGAGATGGAGAAGGAGGATAGTTAGGACCCTACCCAGCCTTGCCCTCAGCCCACAGTGTCACCTGCTTATGTCAGTTACTAGGATTCACCCAAAAAAAAAGTAGGGGTAGGGTTTTTAACCACAACACAAAGTGTAGATCCTCCCAGCTGGAGGGAGGGCTGTCCTGCACCAGTGTCTGCATGGGCTTCTGCCCACTGGTGGGGGGGTACTCAGGCCCCAGGAGTACCGGCCTGGCCCATAAGGGAGGTGCTGCCCTCCTGAAGGTCAACTGGAGTCTGGCTGGTGTGGACCACAACTGTCTTCTCATCCACAATCTCACAGGTGGGGTTGGTGAAGGCAGACAGGGGCAGGGTGATTCGCTGCATCTCTCTCTCACACACTTTCTGTTCATGCTGCTCTTTCAAGTCCTTCCCCCTGGCAAAAAAAAAAAAGGGAAGCATTCAGGCTACACCTCCTGCATGGCTTTGCTCACTAGATAACATCCCTAAGTCTTAGATAAGAGCAATGTCTTGTCATGGTCACAGCAAATCAGAGGCTGAGCCAGGACTTGGGTCCAGGTTACTAGATATCCATTTTGCCAGACTGCCTCAAATTCAACAAGGAACTCCTGCATCTTTGGTCTCTGCTTCCCTATCTGTAAAATGGGGTGATAGCAGTATGACCATTACTCAACTGCAGTGAGACTCAATGGAAAGAATGAGGATAGAGATTCTTAAAAGCAAGATACAGTTTTGTTCTTCAGTCCAGGGCTCCAAAAGACCCAGAGCTTTGGCCCAAACTCATGAAGTTGTCCAGAAAATTGACCTAATCAACTTGCTCTGAGGCAGCCTTCTGATCCTAAAGTCCCAGAAAGTATGAGCCCAGGCTGCAAGTGGACTATCCCTAATCCACACAGGAGACAAAAGGGAGTCTGACAGCTGCTCAGATCAATAGGAAACAATGAGACAATGATCATCAGAACACTAAGAATTTTCATATACCTTTGAGTTAAGTAACTCAATCAGGCTATAGCGGAACTCCACTTTATTCATATGGAGTGCTCACTCCATGTTAAGGATTTTATATGCCTTATCTCAGGACAGCCCTAGGGATGAGGTCTAATTCATTTTATAGACAAGGAAATGGCCCAGAGAAGTTAAGGAACGCTCCAAGGATGTGGCAGGCTCAAACCCAAGTCTGTTGGACTCTGGGTGATGCTCAGAGAAGTTCTAATGTCAAAATCACTCCACAAAAAATGGGGGGGACAAGGACTCAAACCCAGTCTTTTCTCTGCACATGTAGGGCCCATTCCACAGGACCAGTCCACCCCTAGTGCTAACTAGAGGGCTTGGTAAGTGCCCAGCACAGTGCACACTAAAACCAACACCCAGGACCTAGGTTAGCATAAAGGCCAGCAACTAGACATGGGCTCAGCTGTCCCAGAAGGAACTTTGAACGAGCAGCTGATATATGACTTGGTCAACAACACAGGGACCTCTTCAGGGACATGGCTAAGATCAGATGGATTAAACATTCATCAGGATGTTCAATGCAATGACAGAAGCTTCCAGAGACGGGAAGAAATAATGGGAAAATAGGGGCAGGGGGAGAAGGCTAGAGGAGGAAGAGTTGCACAAGTGCCTCACAACCGTCCTTAAATCATCCAGTTCCCTTTATTTGTGTTCTAGTAGCAGCTCAGCCTTAGCTGTGTGACACTTGGCAAAACAGCCTCTCTGAGCTTTGGTTTCCTCATCTGTGAAATGGGGATAATATCTGCCTCAAATAACATAATGAATGTGAAAACACGTTGAAAATAGTGAAATTGCTATAAAAACTTGTAAGAGGTTTTTACGATTTGCCCTGAATATAACTTGACTCATCAAGCAATGATATCTTAATTTCATTTCCCAAGGAAACTTTCTGACCAGCCACGTCAAGTATTGTTTATGTGATCTCAAAAATTTCCTTCTCTCTGGGCCTTAATTTCATTATCTGAAAAACAAAGAGTTGGATTGGATTTGATAATCTCGAGGGCTCTTAACATTCTATAAAATCTCTCATTTGAGATATGCTCTGATTCCCTATTTCTCACTGTAAGGTTACAGGAGGCAAACTTGTGAGCTCTTCCTCAGGAGTCACCCTAAGTGACAGCTTCTGAACATGTAAGCCTGAGACTCAGCCCCTTTCCTCTCATTAGATTCTGTACCAGACAGTACCAACTCCCACAGCAGAATAACCCCCAGAGCACCCAGAAGGGAAATGGAGGGATACATCATACATGGGGAAAAAGTCGTCTAGACCAAGTGCTCTCCCCCACTCAAATCCTGTGTGTCACTTCCCTGTGTCACTGTTCATCAGTTACAACTGCCACCACACAGAAGGAAACATCTACCTTCATAATACAGTTAAAAGCCAGATTCTTCAAGATTGCCCATGTTAGGAGAAGTTTGAAAGGTCTGGGTTTAATTTTACTAGGGGAGCCCCTAAGCCAGTGGAAGACCAAAAGGCAATTTACAAAAGAAACAGAGTATGCAAGTATCTTTTTGCTAAGTCCTAAATTTCAAAATCTAAAGGGCTGGAGGAAGAGGGAAAGCCAGGAATTCACACTTCTGAGTACCTACAAAGTTATCAGAAAATAGCATTCCTACAATCCAGGATGAAAAGAGCTACTTATGCAAATACTGGATGTCCCACACTTTATATATACAGGAAATATAAGAAAGAAATTTCAATTTTAATTTCCAAACTTTCAAGATAATATTTTCCCCATTTTATAGATGAAGAAACTGAGGTTTTGGAATCTGACTTTAGAGCCCTGCTTTCCTTAGCTACCTCCTTTACCTGTGACCAGCTGAACTGCTGATAATGGTCAGGCTACATCATTCTTTAGGAGAAAATATCAATTTGCATTAATGGGGCAGAGCAGGGCTGGTAAGAACAGCCAAGGGTAAAGGAAGCGATGCTGGGACTAGTCTGGATTAGTCTCCCATTTAGAAGCCTGGAAACACACCCAACACCATGTGCCTGCTGCTAATGTACTTATGTGTCCTGGAGATGCAGAGGCTGCCATCAACTCCCTTGGGAGACATTCGAGAGGCCACCAGGCCTGCTGCACTGACCATCAGGCAGCCCAGCCCTCTCTCACCACTTTGGGGGAGGGGGCCAGATTTTAGTGGGCTATTGTCTGGCAGCCAAGAAAGAACAAAAGCTTATTCAGTAACTCAGCTCCTCTCCTAAATGGGTGGAGAAGTGTTGACTTACAGTTTTTCCCTCCCCTTTTTAATCAGAAAATAAGAGCTCCTTCCAGAGCTGGCAGACACTGCACTTAGCTGCTCAGTCACAGACTGGCCATTTGGACCACATGACCTACAATACCAGGACAAAGACCCACTCCCACTTGCAGCCCTTCCTCCCCGGAGAGTAAGCCAGGTGCTGCCCCACCCTTCCCAGCCAGGGAAAAGTTCTGTCCCATTAGCCAAGCCTCTTGGGCTTTGGCAGAGTTCAACAATTACCCTGACTGCTCCAAGGCCAGGATGGGATTGGGAGCTGGGCTAGCCAGAGAGAGCAGATGTGGATGGAGCTGCTGCCTGCCTCTCACTTCCTCTCCCAGGGTGATGGAAGTACCGCAGACCTCCTTCAGGCAACACTGGTTTCTTCAATTATTACTCTGAGCCAATGTTATTTTCCCAGTCAAAGGCAGTGCTGGGCCACACTGCTGCTCCGGAAAAGTTCCCCCAAGGCAGCTATGGGATATGAACACCAATTGCTTTCCCAAATTACACTAATTTCATCCTCAGAACAAACCTATGTGGTTGGTGTCTATTATGATCTCTGTTTCAGAGATAGGAAGGCAGATACAGAGATGTTATATAATTTGTTCAAATGGCAGAGCTAGGATTTGAACCCAGTACTTCCTGTAGCAGTATTGTCTTTTTAGGAACTATTATTAGAGCTGGAAGGATCATCATATCTAACCCCCTGCACCTACACTACAGATGAAGAAGCTTCAACCCAGAGAAGGAAGTAACTTTTCCAATGTCGCATACAGAATTGGTGGCAGTTCCAGAACTGGATCTTGGTTCTTTTGACTTTAAACTCAGACTTTTTTTTTTTAAGTTTCTATTTTTCCTACTGTCCTTTGCAATTCAAAGCAAATTTACATGAGGCTATTGGACCTCTGACTTATTGGAGATACTGATAATACTTAGACATAGCTTACTAGCCTGGGCAGGGTACCTAACTCTTCTAGGTCTCAGATCCTCACTGTAAAATGGTGTAACAGTGCTCCAATAGGGGTCGTGAAACTTAGGCAAGATAATCAGGGAAGAGCATACTACAGTAAGGCTTTACTTATGAAGAAAGCAAAAGTAAATGTTGACTGCTATTGATTATTACCTGATCAGTGTCTACTATTTCCATTTACATTTAATACTTATAATCTTGGGTAGGTGGGTGTGGAGGGGGGATGTTATCCCCATTTAATAGACAAGATACAGAGGTTCAGAGGACACTTGAACCTACACTCAACCTACAGCTCTTTTCAAGACACTCTATTCTCTGACTTTAGGGAGAGATGAGGGCTGAGAGCTTGTTGCTAGCCCACATGTGGTTTCCTGTTGTACAGTCTGTTCTCAGAGCAGTTGTACTGAGAAAAGGGGTGGTCCAATGGTTAGTGACAGGGAGTCTGGTGACTGGTTGCCTTACCCAGAGGTTACAGGAAAGTAAATTCTAGGCCGCAGGGCAGTCCTGTGACAGCCTGGAGGAACAAATCTAGAAGAAAAATACTTGGCTTCCAATGGGCAACAGAACTGAGCTCAGAATTAAAAACATTTATAGTCAGTTCAAGCACCTCAAAGGCCTGGAAACTGTCACAGGATTGGAGGAGAGCCAAATGCTGTCCAGTGGCTGAGGAAGGAAGAAATATTTCTAGGGCTAAATTCAGCCAACATGGTTTGGATCTGACGATGAACTGTAAGGCCAGGGCCACTACATCAACTCCGAAATAAACAAGCAGGTGTCCCTGGACCTGCCATGTGAACCACCCCACTGTGGACAACAGCCTCAGACTGGGAGTCGGGATGCCCTCTCAGGTCAATACTTTCCTTCTCTGGACCTCTGCTTCCGGAATCACAAAAAATCAGAGAAGCAATGGGGCTTGGAGCGCACTATTCCAGAACCCACATTTTAAGAAAAGAACTGACCGCTTCCTAGCCACATACTGATATAAGCAGTCACAAGCCTTAGTCCCACAGCAATGCTCTGGAGCAGGGAATAGAAGCAACTTGCCCAGAGTCACACAGATAGCTAGTTAATGGCAAGGCTAGGACTTCTGTCCACCAAATGCTAGGTGTGTAACCTCAGGCAAGGTACATATCCTCTCTTGCCGCAGTTTCCTAATCTAACTGGAGATAACAGCATTTACTTCATAAGGGTGATTGTGAGAATTAAGTGAATTAAAGCATGCAAAGTGCTTGAAGTACTTACATATGGTAAATGTTCCCTATTGCTATTATTATACCCAACACTTCCTCTTTTTCATCTGTAATAAGGAGGCTGACTACAAGACCTCCAAGGACACCCTAGGTTTATATAATGCTGGGTGATCCACTGGGGCTGTGGGCTCAGACATGGCCTTCACGCCTGTAAAATGCAGGCTACTGTGTCACTTCTCTTACAGGAAGACTTCTCAGACAATAGAAGAGAAATATCATAGACCCTCAGGGCTGGATATCTGAAGTCAAATCTCCTGATTTTGCCCAAGAATGGCAAATAATTTTCCAGAGTCAGCCAGTGCTGTAAAGATGAAATGTCACTGAGCCGGGCTCGGTGGCTCAGCCTGTAATCCCGCGCCTTTGGGAGGCTGAGGTGAGTGGATTGCCTGAGCCCACGGGTTCGAGACCCGCCTGGGCAGCGAGACCTCATCTCCACAATAAATCAAAAAATCAGCCGGGCGTGGTAGCGCATGCCTGTAATTCCAGCTACTCGGGAGGCTGAGGCGGAAGGATCGCTGGAGCCCAGCAGGTCGAGGCTGCAGTGGACGGGAGCGGCCACTGCACTCTAGTCTGGGCAACAGAGTGAGACTCCAACTCAAAAAAAAAAAAAAAAAAAAAAGAAATGTCACTGACCTTGACAGCCTTTTTCCACATGCCATCTCATGGGACCTTTCAAAACAAGTATTCCTCCTCCTGCTGTCCCAGCCACAGGACATGTCCCTAAGTTTCACAAGTAGCTTCTTTGGCTTTCTCACGTGTGGTGAAAAGTGGCAAACAGACTTCCTGTTCTCCGACTTATTTTTTTCTTCCTATCAGTGGAGATCCCACTGCTTATGGCTCAGGAAATGTAAACCCCAACTGAAAAAACAGCTGGAAACCTTTTCCAGTAGCAAAATTTTATAACTCACTGAAAGAATTGTCTCTGGGTCCCTGCAATGAGTGTCCAGCCTGATATCTGCCGTGCCACTCACTTCCATGCCAGGTGTGCTGAATTAGACAGCAGGGAATTTGGTATCAAAAGAGCTGGGTCTGAATCCAGGTTCCACCACTTCCCGTCAATGTGACTTTGGGCAAGTCACTTCGCCTGATAGAGGCTTTCTCATCTGCAAAATGGGGAACAAAAATCCCTACCTCAGAAGGCTTTTTGGGTGAGAAATAAGCCAACAAAGGAAAGAGTTTGTCCAAGGCCACCTGGTAAGGACTAGAACCAAGTCTACATCTTGAGCTGGCTTTCCTTTTTTCAACACCACACTACCTTTTGGGCAAGAAAGCCACAAAGTTTGATTTGACTTTGTGTGCCTTCCTCCCCTCCTCCTCTCAAGAAGGCCCAGAAGAGAAGCTACTGACCTCTTGTAGGTATAGCCCAAGATGATGCCAGCTCCGATGGCGATGATGATCACCATCATGGTAATGCCCAGCACATAGCCTGCCAAGGACAGGACATAAGGTCCCATTAGCCACACCCCAGACAATCAGCAAATGACATCTCGAATCCCAACAAGGGCAAGGGTGGGGCCGTCATACCCAGAGTTCCCAGGTCCTTTTTCTCCTTGGCATTCATCCGCACCCGCTGGCTGATCCCAATCACTGGCTGCACAGCTGCAGCTTCACTCCGGGCAGGCAGGGCGTTGGCAGGAGCAAACACCTGCACTTCACCTGGCCCTTCAGACACCTCCTCGCTTCCTGTTGCGGAGGCTGGTGGGGCCGGGGGAGTGGTTTCTGTAGGTGAGATGGGAAACAGCTCTCATCAAGGACTGCTCTAAATGAATTCCAAGGTTGACCCTGGCTCAAGTGGTAAGGGAGATGGAAGCGGGTCATCTTAGAATGCACCCCACACTAAAACCAAACGCTGCCCCAGGGCCAAAATCAGGCGTGAGAGGGCTGCAGCATTGCTGGAACGAGGAAAATGTGAAGGAAAGACCGAAGGGAAGGGACTTTCTCGTCTTCATCTCTTCAAACTCTTGCTATCTTCCAAGTCCCAGCTCAGTTGCCATCTTCTCCAGTCAGAAGACAACCCAGGACTCCTCTGAGCAGCTCACATTTATTGAGCTCACGATCCATGCCAGTCTCTATGTTAAGTGCTTTATCTTGATCATCTCATTTAATCCTAGAGAATTATCTCATTTAATCCTGGGGAACAACAACCTGCTCTCTGAAGTCTAAGAAACTTTATTCAAATCTGGACCCCGCCATTGCCTTTGGTATATCGCTTAACTTCTCGGAGGCTCAGATCCCCTCAAACAGCTTCTTCCCATGGGGGCTGTGAGCAGGGTGCCTAGCACACAGGAGACGCTCCACAAATGGTCAATAAACGCTAAGGGGTTCGCTCGCCAAGAGCCACCCCCGGGCGCGCGGCGGCGAGACGCAGCCTCGCCTACCGCAGTTGTTTACAAGTGCTCGCGGAGGATGAGCTCACTCCGAGCGGCGGCGGCGGCCAATGGGCTTTGAGCTCCGCAGCCTGGAGACAGCCCTAGCCAATCGGACCGCGCGGGGGCGGGGCGGGGCCGGCCGGCGTCGCGCGGCCGCACGTGCGCGCCGGGTGTAAAGGCCGCTCCCAGTCAGCCGCTGGCGCGGGATCCTGGATTCCCGGGCTGCTACCTGGACAGCTCAGGTCCTCGCAAGGCCGCTTCTCGGGGGTGCTGCCCTCGCCGCTGACGTAGCACCAGGGTCCGTGCGGGTCCCGGTCCGGGTTTCGGCAGTAGTTGTGGTTGCCGGTGCCTGACGGGGGAGAGAAGGCTCCATGGGCCGGGGCGGGGACCGCGGCCGCCTCCCGCCCGCCCCGCCGCCGCCCCGGACACTCACGCGACTCGGGGGCCCGCGCCAGGCCGCTCTGCGCATCCAGCCAGTTGAGGCAGCGGAGGCCAGGTGCGGGCGAGGACTGGTCTCCCCGATACAGGTGGCCGTTGTCCCAGAAGCAGCCTGTGAGGAAGGGGAGCCCCCCGGACCCTGAGTGGCGGGCGTGGGATCTGGAACCACCGCTGTCCGGCTGGGGGACCCTGAGCCCTGCTGGGCCTCCCAGTTCCCTCGTGGAAACAACCCCCACCCGCTCGCCCTCCTGCCTCCCCTCCCACACACCTCGCGGGGTTGCTGTGAGGCCCGAAGGAGAAGGAAGACGGAGCGCCTGAAAAACGCTAGCCTGTGCTGGCCCTCAGTCAGCACTCAGAGAATGTTAGCCATTTTTTATTTTTATTTTTGAAAGCCGGAAAACGCTGCAGAAGTGCCAAGGGTTGTTACTCTTGAACTTGTGGCCACTCCGGAGTGGGGGAGCTTGGGGGGAGGGAGGTCTGGCTTTGGTGGGAGGTGGTAGGAGTTTTGGGTCGGTGGGCGGCCGGCCCTGACATGTATCCCTGTGTTATAATGCCCGTGTTACATAAACTCTGGCTTTCCCTCCTCCACGGATACGGCCACCTTCTGCCAATTTAACAGGCAATACTTTCTCCCAAGGGAATTTGCCTTGATTCAGTCAGGCAAAAGATTCCAGAGAGCCTCAAACGGAGGGAACCTGCCTAGATGTAACTCCAAACTCCCACTCCCCTCAACTGGAGAGCCACAGGAGGAAGCTGGGGAAGGAGGGCCTGCGGGCTGGCCACACCAAGCGAAGGGCTTGAACAGAACAGGACTTAGGGAGGCAGAGAGAGGAATCCCTAAGCTCCATGCACTCATGAGCGAGGAAAGGGAAAGATAAAGTGGCTTCTTGCCTTTGTTCTTAATGGCAAAGATGGAGCTGCAAGCCCTTGGCAAGGAAAGGAGGGTAGGGGGGAAGCTTTTAGAGGACAACAAAAACCAGCTAAAAGCTTCGTTTCCTGTCATCCTAGCCATGTTTGGGAAATAGGGGCTTTACCCATTCTGCTTCATTAAGTTGCAGCAGAAAGGAAAGATTGTAATCTTACCTCCAGATCCATAGGCTTCTGCAAGGAGCATGTTGCTGACGAGGAATGTTTGTACCCAGGCTAACAGCATCTTCGCCTTCTTTGTCCTGCAGGTGATCGAACACTCAGTGTCCAGCCGGGGTTCCCTTGGCGGTGGCTCTGCCTCCCTGTCCCAGCTTTGCAGTCAGACCTGCCCTTGTTATGCTCTTCTGGTAAACAGCCTCTCTTTAGAACTGGGAGCTTCCCAGCTAGCTTGCTGCAGCGCGAGGTGTTTTCAGCTGAAAGGCGCCCCCTGGGTCCTAAGTTTCCTATGCCTTACATGATCACTAACCCTGAGTGGAGAGAGGAGCTCAGCCAAGTGAAGAGAGGCAGAGGTTTAGGTTGTGCTTAGCAGCTGATCAGTTTGAGACCTGTGTGGCTGCACCCCGGGCCTTTACACCTCTTTTGTTTGCATTTGTGTGAGTACAGAAAGAATATTTCTGTTAGTAGGCATCATGGGGGGAGGGGAGAATTATAAGCACTAAGGGAGGAGATGCTAGCTCCACAACCAACAGGAATTCAAGACCACATAAGGGGCACAAATAAGAGTATCTGGGTAGAAGTAACACTGTATTATCCTTGAAAATAAAAAGGGCCTTTGTGGTTTATACATGTTTATAAACATTGCCAGTTTTTTTAGCAGTATAATTGACCAGAGTCAGATTCCTTTTCTTACATTTGAGGTTTGAGGTGTCATATATAGTAGAATACAGAAGGGGTATCTTCAGTTGAAAATACAGGTTATGCAAATATTGGAAAATTTGCTCAGCTATATTGTAATGGTCTGCCCTTTCTACCAGTCCTGAATTAGTATAAAGGAAGTTAAGTTCAATGTTTGCTTTTTTCCCCACCCTCTGAGAAATCCATTTGCTGTAATTTATATACATCATTAAATCTTACCACATCCATATGACTTAGACCTTTTGGAGCTGGGCAGAAGGACTCTCTTCCTGTTTGGCTGACAATTCAAGTTCCCAGGCAAGCCTCAGTAAACTGAGAGATAGAGCAGAGTGATTCGCCAAGACTACCTTGTGACTCAGGCAAATCCCAAAATAGAAATGGGATACTCTGTTTCAATCTTGCACAGAGTAATTTAGGAAGGGGGAAAAAACAACTCTTCTAAATAAATTTTAAAAGCTTTATCAGGGAAGAAAACTAATGTTAATCCAACTAATCTGAAGTGAATTGGAATTTACTACAATCAATTTCAAACATAAAAAGAACAGATACATTTAGTTCACTCTTTAAAGCTGTTTACTGATAGTATTTGATCCCTTCAGTCCATTTAATAAGACATATTGCATTGTTTTGCAGTAACTCAACTCTCCTATTTCCTCATACAAGCTTCTTTCTGATCCTCTGACTCCTGACTTGGTCTACACTGGAAATTACACCATAGGGTCTGTAAATTTACTCACACACACACATACACAGATATGCCAAAATATTAGAATTTTCCAATTCTAACATAGTTGGGGCTTTTAAATATACAAATATTTCTGAGACCCTATCACATGCGAAATACAGTTCTAGAGGCTTGCACAATAGGTCACATCTGTAATCCTAGTACTTTGGGAGGCCAAAGTAGGAGGATTGCTTGAAGCTATTTAAAACCAGCCTGGGCAACATAGTGAGACCTCATTTATACAAAGAAAAAAAATTTTTTTTTTATTTGAGTTGGAGTCTCACTCTGTTGCCCAGACTGGAGTACAGTGGCCGCTCCTAGCCACCACAGCCTCGACCTGCTGGGCTCTGGCGATCCTTCCACCTCAACCTTCCGGGTAACCAGAATTACAGGCATGCGCTATCATGCCCGGCTGATTTCTTGATTTCATTGTAGAGATGAGGTCTCACCAAGTTGCCCAGATGTGGTAGTACACATCTACAGTACTAGTTACTCAGGAGACTGAGGGTGGAAGATCTCTTGAGCCCAGGAATTATTTTGTTGTTGTTTTGAATCAGAGTCTCACTGTCATCCAGGCTGGAGTGCAGTGGCACACTCATGTCCACCACAACCTCGACCGGCTGGACTCAGGTGATCCTTCCACCTCAGGCTTCCAAGTAGCTGGGGCTATAGGTACATACCACCACGCCTGGCTAATTTATTTATTTATTTCAGAGATGTGGTCTTGCCATGTTACCCAGGCTGATCTCCAATGCCTCAGCCTCCCAAAGTGCTGGGATTATAGGCAAAAACCACTGTACCCAGTGAGCCCAAGAGTCTGAGGCTGCAAGTGAGCTATGATTATACTACTGCACTCTAGCCTAGGCAACAGAGAGACCCTGTCTTAACCACAACAGCAACAAATATATATCTTTATCTATTTCTATCTATCTATATATATATCTTTGAAGAAAACATTTGAAATTGCTGTCCTCATGGAGCTTATATTTTATAGTTGGGAGAAACATGAAAAATGTGTAAAATGACAGGTAATCTTAATTGTTATTTTTTTTTTTTTCAGTCAGAGTCGCACTCTGTCACCCAGACTGGAGTATAGTGGCCGCTCCCGGCCACCACAGCCTCGACCTGCTGGGCTCCGGTGATCCTTCCACCTCAGCCTTCCGAGTAGCCGGAATTACAGGCATGAGCTACTGTGCCCGGTTGATTTTTTGATTTATTGTAGAGATGAGGTCTCGCTGCCCAGGCAGGTCTTGAACCCGCGGGCTCAGGCAATCCACTCACCTCAGCCTCCCAAAGGTATGGGATTACAGGCTGAGCCACCGAGCCCCGACTAATTGTTATTTTTTAAAAAGTGCAAGAGAGACTGGGTGTGGTTGTTCACGCCTATAATCCCAGCATTTTGGGAGGCTGAGGCAGGAAGATCACCTGAGTCCAGGAGTTCAAGACCAGCAGAGGCAACATAATGAGTCCTCATCTCTACAAAAAATAATTTAAAAATTAGCTGGACATGGTGGGCCATGCCTGTAGTCCCAGCTACTCAGGAGGCTGAGGCAGAAGGATCACCTGAGCCCAAGTGGTCAAGGCTGTGCTAAGCTGAGATTGTGCCACTGCACTTCAGTCTGGGTGACAAAGTGAGACCCTGACTCACAAAATAAAAAATTTTAAAAAGTGAAACAGAGTAAGGGAGAGAATAGCAGGGTGATATTCCATTTGCTAAAGAAAGCTTATGCTATTTTCAGAGAATCAGTAGGCTATTTCTATAGCCAAAAGCCTGAAGGGGAAGGGCATTTTGCAAAACTTTTCTTAAAGGGTCCCATGCTTAGTCTTACACCCCTGCAAGAGATATATGATATGCATTTTATTTCATTACATAAAATATATAGACTTGAGAAAATAAGAGTACGGTTTTATTTTTGTTTTTTGGGTTTTTTTGAGTTGGCGTCTCCCTCTGTCACCCAGACTGGATGGAGTGCAGTGGCCGCTCCCAGCCACCGCAGCCTCGACCTGCTGGGCTCTGGCGATCCTTCTGCCTCAGCCTTCCAAGTAGTCGGAATTACAGGCATGTGCTACCACGCTCAGCTGATTTTTTTGATTTATTGTAGAGATGAGGTCTCGCTGCCCAGGCAGGTCTCGAACTCTACAGGCTCAGGCAATCCACTCACCTCAGCCTTCCAAAGGCACGGGATTACAGGCTGAGCCACCGAGCCCGGTGTTTTAAATTTCAGAATAGCAGAAGGTTCTTTGAGATTGATCCCTCAGCACCTAATCTATTGCCTTTGTATGCAGTAAGTACTCATTTACTAATGTCTGATTAAATGCTTCTCCTTAGTCTCTGAAGGGCTACTTCTGCTGGATTATAATACTTTCCCCTCTAATTACAATAGACACAGGTTGTAACAGGCCAGTACTTTTATCATTTTCAGATTATCTACTGTGCCCACATAGGGGTGCCAGTACTTCTGCCTCAGAAGCCTGAGGCTTCCTTACCTGTTGCTGTTATCATCCCATTTTCCATGTAAAAAACGACTATTTTCCCTAACTTACATACCTTATTTTGTGTGTTACCAGGAACAACACTGCCTAGAAAAGATAGAAGACAGGCCAGAAGGTTTTTTTCAGCTTAGTCATCTGTACTTTTTCTCCCCTGTAACTAAGACATTTATCAACAAGATTGATTTCTTTGAGGAATGAAGGACTTGTTTCTCAATCTTTCACAGACATCTTCTAATAGGTTCAGTGCCTTCCTTCCTCATGAAAGTCAGATTTAGTTGAGGGATGCGCTTGTCTTTTTCTTCTTCGTCATCTTCTTCGTCTTCGTTTTTGTCTTACTGTGTTGCCCAGGCTGTTCTCAAACTCCTGGGCTCAAGCAGTTTTCCTGCCTTGACCTCCCAAAGTGTTGGGACTATAGGTGTGAGCCATCATGCCCAGCCTACTGTCCTTTTTTGATGCTCCAGATTTGACATTTTCTTCATGTATTGGTGTAATATGGCCATATTTTGTGGCCTATAGCATAGTTATTCCAAACTTCAGCTTTATTCTGAAAATATTACCTCAATAATCATATGATACAGTACTACTCAAATCTGTATTCTGAATTGTTTATATCCCTGAAGACAACATTGTGAATTATAATACTATTTTACTAAATATTTCATGGTATTTGACTCTTGGTTTTATATATCTATATATATATATATATATATATATATTTTTTTTTTTTTTTTTTTTG